ACTTTACCACATTGCTTGTCACTTCCATCTTCCAGTTAGGGAAGACCAGTGGATGTGAATATGTGAGCTGGATTATTCAGGCCAAGGAGGGTGCAAATTAGCCACTTGACTGATAGTTAAGGAAGGAAAAATCTTATTGATAACATGTTTTAAAAATGTCTTTTGAAATCATATCTTCTGTATTTAACATTGCCTAGATTTCCCTTTCTCTATTCCTTTCCAGAGAGTTATTTCTTATAGCAAAGGATTTTGCCAACATCTTTAAAAAACTCTGCTTGCAACTTTAAAAAGAAGATAATCAAAGACATAGTAGTTAACTCCTAATTGAGTCCAGCTAGAGCAGAGTTGTGTGATAAGTGCTTTTATCTACTTTTCCCAACATTTGCCAGAGTTTGCTCGCTCTCTCTCTCTGTCTCTCTGTCTCTCTCTCTCTGTGTCTCTGTCTCTTTCTTGTCTCTCTCTCTGTGTCTCTCTGTCTCTCTTTCTCTGTCTCTGTCTCTATCTCTCTCTCATCTGATTGTTACCGATATTAATTTAGCTTTGTTAGTGGACAGGAGACAGGAGATTCCTCTCTGACACCAGGCTTGAGCACTGCCTTTGACAAAATGCAGGGCAGTCAAGCTTTCAGATAGATGAATGCCAGAAACACAGCTGTTCATGTCCACTGTTTATCATGGTTATTGGTAGAGTGACAGAAGTCAATCTTTCTTCCCATCCTCAGCTTTTTGGGTATGGTCATTTTCAATTTAACATGTATTTACTGAGGGGCTATTATATGTACAACATGGGAGATACAGATATATATGCAATGTAGTCCCTGCACTTATGGAGCTTATAGTATGGTTGGGGTAGTGAGTCACACCCACTTGCAACAGTTAGAAAATGACACAAGTATTAAGTAGGGAGGTGCTCTATTATGTAGAATCCTGTTCCAAAATATAGATTTGGAAAGTTGAATTTCCATGCCTCTAAAGCAGAATCCTTGGTAGTGAAGTTTAGTTTGAATGAATAATAAGTTCAAATTATAGAATAGCAAAATACAAAATAATTTATTTTTTGCTGTTTTCTGATTACTTGACTTATTACTTATAAACACTGTTGTAAATGAATATCACTAGGTAAAAAAGGGTAAATTGATGAAAAAAAGTTCAATTTACAGTTGGCCTGTGTTAAGTAATGCACATTGGTTTGAATCCCTGATATGCCATTTAGTTGTGTTACCTTTGGCAAATCATTTAACCTTTTTGGGTCTCAGTTTCCTCATCTGTAAAATGAAGAGATTGGACTTGATGATCTCTAAAGTCTCTTCTAGCTTTAAATCTGTGATCCTATATATAATGATTTATGATCATATATATATACATATATATGTCTACATATTTATCTTCCTATATAAGCAATAGCTTTAAGGGCCTGTGGTTTTATGAACATGAATATTCCCTCCATTGACTGACAGTAATTGTTTTATGCCTAAGTAAGTGCTTTCTCTGAATTGCTGGGGTTGTATAAGATCATATTTTCTGGAAGCTAAGTTATGCTGCTGAGTGTCCCCATGTAAAGTTAGGCTGCTGGTCCTAGGATGGTCTAACACAAGTCCCATAGAAATGCCCATCCAGCTTTCCATCATTTCCAGTAATAATAGTGACTTAAATTTATATGGAGCTTTAAGGTTTATAAAGCAGTTTCTTTACAACTACCCTATGTAGTAGGTAATACAAGTGTTAATTCATGAATGACAAAACTGAGGGTCAGACATTTAAAAACAATTTTTTTGGGGGGGCAATTGGGGTTAAGTGACTTGCGCAGGGTCACACAGCTAGTAAGTGTTAAGTGTTTGGTGTGGATGTGAACTCAGGTCGTCCTGACTTCAAGGTTGGTTCTCTATCTACTGCGCCACCTAGCCGCCCCTAGGAAAATTTCTTAAATAGGGTCCCGAAGCTAGTAAGTGTCAGAGGTCTGACTTGAATTGAGATTTCCTAATTTCACCCATGAATGTATTGCCTTTGTGTTCCAGAATTCTGAAATCTTATCCAACCACAATCTATTGGCTTTTCACATCTCTCTGATTACTCTTATAAAACCCCATATTTTGTTTGCACTGTGAACTCCAATCCCTTGAACCTTCAGTTCTCTCATAGGCTACCTCCCCTGACTAGCCACTCTTTTCTCTTTTCCCCATCTTGGTCTCTTGGCGAACCAATTCACCTCGACACTGTTCTCCTCTCTTGAATCCTAAGCCTCCTTAACAAATCCACAGCCATGGATCACTCCCACCATTTGCTGCCTTCAGTCCTGAGGCCCTCACTTCTTTGGCAATTCTACTATACCTCCCTTACCAATTCACGATCCCACTCTCTATAACAGCTCTTCCAAACCGTTTCATCTTCCCCCTACCCTCTCAGCTGAGAACTTGACCTCATATTTTACTGAAAAAAATGAGACCACTCACCATGTGCTGCCTCTTCTGCCCTCTTCTTCATCTTTTATCATTCTAATGCCTTCTGTCACTCTCTCCTCCTTTACCCCTGTCTCACATGATAAAATAACCTCACTCTTTACCAAGGCTGAACCCTCTACTCGCTCAAGTGATCCAATCGATTGCCCCTTCTGCCATCCCCACTCTATCACTTATTTTCAATTTCTCCCTGTCTACTGGCTCATTTCTTACTGTCTACAAACATGCCCTTGTCTCCCTCATCCTGAAGAATTCCCTCATTTGATCCTTCCATCCTCACTATCATCCTATATTTCTTCTGCACTTTGTAGCTAAACTCCTTAAAAAGGCCATTTACAAAAGGCACCTCCTCTTTCTGTCCTCTCACTCTCTTCTTAACCTCCTATAATTCAGCTTCCAACCTTATCTGAGAGCATTGAAACTGTTCTCTCCAAAGTTACTAATGATTTCTTAGTTGCCAAATCCAATGGCTTTTTTTTCAATCCTCATTGACCTCTCCGCAGGCTTGACACTGTTTATCACCCTCTTCTCCTTGATACTCTTTTCTCTCTAGATTTTCCCCAAACCATTTTCTCCTGGTTCTCCTCCTACCTATCTGGTCACTCCTTCTCTGTCTCCTTTGTTGGACCATCTTCCAAATCATGCCTTTTAACCATAGATGTCCCACAAAGCTCTGTCCTGAACTCTCTTTTTTCCCTCTATACTTTGTTTAGTGATTTAGTGATCAATTCTCATGGATTTAATTGTCATCTCTATGCTGATGATTCTCAAATCTACCTATCTTGCCCCAAACTCTCTGCTGATCTCCAATCTCACATCTCCAACTGTCTTTCAGACATCTCATACTCAATGTCCAGAAGATATCTTAAACTCAACATGTCCAGAATGGCATTTTTACCTTTCCCAAAAACCATCCCTTCCCTTCCACCTTCCCTATGACCATCAAAGGCAGCACAATCCTCCCAATCCCTCAGACTCACAACCTAGGAATCACCGTTGGCCCTTCACTATCTCTCACCCTCTTCCTCCCCACCACCCTCCATATCCAATCTGTTGCCAAGGCCTGTGGATTTTACCTTCCCAACATCTTTTGAATATGCCTCCTTCTATCCTCTGGCAATGCCACCATAGACCCTCATCACCTCCCACTACATTATTGCAACAGCATGCTATTGCAGGGTCTGCCTGCTTCAAGACTATTACCTCTCTGGTTCATTCTCCATTCAGCCACCAAAGTCTAATTGTGCCACCGCTCTACTTAATAAACTCCAGAGGCTTCCTATTGCTTCCTGGATCAAATACAAAATGCTCTGCTTGGCATTTAAAGTCCTTCATAAACTAGCCCCCCCTTACCTTTCCAATCTCCTTCTACCTTACTCCTAACCACATACTCTTCTATCCAGTAACACTGACCTCCTTGCTGTTCCATGAAGAAGACATCTATCTCTTGTCTCTGAACATTTTCTCTGGCTGTCCCCCATGCCTGGAATGTTCTCCTTCCTCATATGCTTCTACTGACTTTTCTGTCTTTAAGTCTCAGCTAAAATCCCATCTTTTACTGGAAGCTTTGTATATACCTTGCTTTTTATATATTCATTTTCATATTGTCTCTCTCATTAGATTGTAAGCTCCTTGAGGGCAGGGACTATCTTTTTCCTTTTTTTTTTCTCTGCAGTGCTTAGCTAAGTACCTGGCACATAGCAGGTCCTTTAAAATGTTTATTGATTGACTGCTTCACTGGAGCAATGGAAGGGAGCTTGAGTTTTTGAAGGCTATGGCAATGGAGCAAAAACTCTGACAAATTCTATCAAGTTGGAAAGGCATTGGATACTGCACTGATGGTGGGTTGCATATCTGTTGGTTATCCTAGTCTAGGTTCATCACCTTCAGAAGGTTAGGCCCTGGGGGACAGATCTTTTCACGACCTTATGACTTATGACACACTTCAGGAACTTATGACATAGTCTGCTAATGTGTAGAGGAATCATGATCATCATTGGTACCCTGGTGAAATAAAAAAAAAAAAATCAGGTGTTGAAGTGACTTATCTACCTGCCCAGCCCAGTGATACCTATGAAAACCTATCGGATACAAGTTTGAAAAACATCGTCTTCTCTACCAATAAGATCGTTTGGATGCTACTTCTTGAGGAAGAGAATTCAAAGAGTCATATACCTTCTCTTGTGTTATACTAGTGAGTCAACAGGGATTTATTAAGTGTTTACTCTGCCAGACACTGAGTTGCAGTGATACAAAATTTTTCAGAAGGTAAACAAAAGGTTACAGAAGATACAAAGAAAGGCAAAAACATGGTCCCTGACCTTAAGGAATATGCATTCCAACTGGGGAAACAGTATGTACATAATTAAGTACATATATGATATAAATATATATACACATATCCACACACAGTGTAAATGAAAGTAATTGCAGAGGTAAGTCACTATTGGGGCAGGAACTGGGAAAGGCTCCTTGAAGAAGTAAGTAGGATCTTTACTGGAAATAGTCGATAATTTTATAGTTACAATTTTTCTGTTTCTGATAGGTTGTGCAGTTATTGAGGAAATAAATGTATACCCTGCCCAAACATCAATGAGTCCTCTGCTTACCAAAGACCAGCAGCAGCCAATGCGATATCAAAACTCAACAGGACTTTGTGGCAAAGTTTGCACAGGTAAATAGGGGATTAAGGGGGGTGGTAGAGATGCCTGAGGTGTTCAGAGAACCTTGTGTATTTCATTCCATTCTCCACTTTCTTCCTTTATAATCTGTATTATTGTTTTCAAGAGGCATTCAGCCTTCTTTCTGATGGCATTAGCTTCTGTGTCCTCAGACAACTTTGTCATAGGGTAAAAGCTGGCCGGCTCAGCATTCTGTTCCCTAGAAAACAATTGATCAGCATATGGATACTTTTTCAGTAAGATAATTGTTTTTAAGGACAATTGTACTGAATGATTAAGAGGTTATCCTATAGTCTGCTTTTAGCTTTGGTTGTGATCTATAGTTCCACTGACACTGACCTAAAAGTTTAAAAAAAAAGCATCAAAGGAAAATTACTTTATGGTAGCCTTGAAAATAGTTGTTGTTTTAAAAATAACAACAGTATCTCACATTTTTATGGCACTTTATGGTTTACAAAGCACTTTCCTCATAAAAATCTTAGGAGGCAGTGGGTAGTATAAATTTTATTATCATCATTTTACAGACGAGGAAACAACTCTCAAAGAGATAAAATAGCTTGCCCCTTACCACACAGCTAGTGAGTGTGTCTAACACAAATACAGGTGTTCTTACTTCCAAGCTAGGTCTCTTTTTAAGGTACCATGCTATGACACTTAGACTAATTTATATTAGTCACATGTAAAGCCACAGGTGGTATTTGTGTGAATTTTAATACTAAATCTGTTACTGACTAGTCTTGTGATTTTCAGTAAGTTACTTCACATCTCTCTTTTTCAATTTTATCACCTGTAAATCAATCAATGAATAAACATTTTTAAAGGGCCTACTCTGTGCCAGGCACTATGCTAAGAACTGCAGATTAAAAAAAAGAGTCAAAAGACAGTCCCTACTCTCAAGGAGCTTATAATCTAATGAAAGAGACAATATGAAAACAAATATATTCAAAATAACGTATAGACAGGATAAATAGGACAAATTAACAGAAAGAAGGCATTAGAATTAAGGTCTGGGAAAGGCTTCCAGTAAAAGATGGGATTTTAGTTTGGGATTTAAAGGAAGACAGAAAAGTCAGTAGGAAGAGATAAGGAAGGAGAATGTTCCAGGCATGGGGGACAGCCAGCGAAAATGTCCAGAGACAAGAGATAGAGGTCTTCTTCATGGTATAGCCAGGAGGCCAGTGTCACTAGATGGAAGAGTATGTGGTTAAGAGGAAGGTAGAAGAAGACTGGAAAGGTAGGAGGGGGCTAGTTTGTGAAGGACATTAAATGCCAAAGAGGGAATTTTATATTTGATCCGGGAGGCAACAGGAAGCCACTCGAGTTTATTGAGTAGGGGGATGGCATGATTAGACCTGAACTTTAGGGAAATGACTTTGTTGGCTGAATGCAGGATGAACCAGAGTGGGGATAGTCTTGAAGCAGGCAGTCTCACCAGCAGGCTGTTGCAATAATGTAGTGTGAGGTGATGAAGGTCTGTGGTGGCATTGCCAGAAGAAGGCATATTCAAAAGATGTTGGAAAGGTAAAATCCATAGGCAACGGATTGAATATGGTGGGTGGTGGGGAGGAAGAGGGTGAGTGAAGGGCCAAGGATGATTCCTAGGTTATGAGTCTGAGGGATTGGGAGGATTGTGCTGCCCTTGATAGTCATAGGGAAGGTAGGAGGGAGGGGATGGTTTTTGGGAAAGGTAAAAATTCAGTTCTGGACATGTTGAGTTTAAGATGTCTTCTGGACATTGAGTTTGAGATGTCTGAAAGACAGTTGGAGATGTGAGATTGAAGATCAGCAGAGAGTTTGAGGCAGGATAGGTAAATTTGAGAATCATCAGCATAGAGATGACAATTAAATCCATGGGAGTTGATGATGTCACTAAGTAAAGTACCATGGAGGGGAAAAAGGGTCCAGGATAGAACCCTTAAGGACACCTGTAGTTGGAGGGTATGACATGGATGAGGGATCTAAATAAAGGGGTTGGACTAGAACTAGATGCTCTGGAAGGTCCCTTCCTTCAGGGTCCTTTGACTTTTGATTGCCAGAAACATGTCACCCCTGCACAGACCCATGCTTGAGAAGGACTCAAAAGCTGTCCTCAATAATGCAGCTCTCCCTGACTTTTTGATATATAATCATCATTGCCTAAACTAAACTGTAAGGTGTTCTGTGTACTCAAGACCCCAGGCAACTTCCACAATGGCTCAACTCACTGGACATCCTTAGGGCTTCTCCTCCTCCTCCTGCTCCTCCTCCTCCCCCTCCCCCTCCCCTCCCTCCTCCTCCCCTCCCTCCTCCTCCCCCTCTCCCCCTCCTTCTCCCCCTCCTCCTCCTCTTCCTCCTCCATCTGTCTTCATCTTTTCTTCATCTTTATCTTCTTCATCTCATCTTCTTTTCTCTTCTTCCTCTTCATCATCATCTTCATTATCATCATGATGCACTTTAAAGTTTTTATAGTGTGTATAATGTGGGTGTGATACCTCAACCCACTTTCTCTTCTTTCTTATTTTTCTGGAATGGTTTTATTACCCAATCTGCACTTACCCTGTTTGAGGTTCCCAGAGCAGGAAGCCATGATTCTACAACTCACTTTCAGGGTAATCCTTGTGGGAATAAATGCATTCTTTCTGCTTTACATGCTACTCCTGATCCCTACACCAATGTGTTTCTCATTGAACAAATTAGCCAGATGAACTACATCTACTCTTAATCAGAAATATTTACTAAACTGAAGGTAAAGCAAGAATAATTATAACACTTTACCTATAAACCAGGGACACATTCTCCTTATGCACACAGTGTCCTCAGAGGAGAGAGTGGGCACAAATTCACGGAGCCATAGTGGGAAGCACATGCTTAGGGAATCATTTTTGCCTGGGGCAACTCACAACTCTGGACTATAGTCTTTGAATTCATCTATCTCCCTTAGGGTCCATGTGTGCAACAATTCAATGAGGGCTGGGACCACTCCTCTTCTGGGTCTCTCTTTTCTCCTGCTGGGAAAGGCTGATTCCCAGCTGGGGACTTCTCTTTGGAGTTGCTAAGGAAGCATTATGCTCTTTCATCAAAAGAGAAGCCCTAAGCCTGGGATCTGTAAAGCTTTTCCAGGTCTCTCTCTTTGGCTGGGCTTTGAAGGTTTTTTATCTCTCAGTTTGAGCTCTCCTCTCTGTTTCCAGACCTGACCTATGTTGTCCTACCTCTGAAGAGTCTCTCTGTCTCTCTCTGTCTCTGTCTCTCTCTTCTCTGATATGTGTGTGTGTGTATACACACTATATATATATATATCAGTCTCTATATCCTCTCTGATTATATATTACACATACATACATGCATACATATATATGCACACACATATATGCTTTAATTCATTTAGAGAGCTAGTCTTGACCAACTCTGCTGCTTTGAAGTAGTATCTATTATGTGAAATAACTCACCTTAATCTCATGAAGAAAAGCCCAAATTCATATTTCTGCCAGCCATGTAACTATTAGGCAAGATACTTTTGTCCCATAGTCAAGAAACAATTCTAAATATCAGCTTTCATCCTTAAAATTCTCATATCAGTCATATGAAAATTAGATCCTGGGAAATAGGATACATTGGTCGTCTGAGTATTTTTTATCTGTTGGCTGTTTTTTTCAGTGCTTTTCTAACACCTGTCCTTGATTCTACCCCTTTCCCTTTGGAAACCATCCACATCTGAAAGAAATAACCCATTATACACATTAAGTTATTATTAACCCCTCCCCCCCATTTTGTATATGAAGGAATTGAGATTAAGAGAGGAGTCTTGGTTCTTCCTGTGTTTTCTGTCTTAGAGCAGCCTCAGGGTGGAAGAAGCTCTAGTTTGGTCTTCAAGGCTTTTTTTCTATAGGGGGTGCTTGATAGCCCCATAGCTCACCTGCCTTGGTTTCCTGACTTTTATAAAGCCTTATGAGTCTAACAATCTATAGTTCTGTATTTATCCCCCATCATTATTAGTCCTGCCTACATTTGTCAATACTTGTCCCACTTCTTCACATACTTTTTTCCTTCTTATCCAGAAGCAGATATAACATGAAAAGGCAAGTACAAATATAATCCTATTCCACATTCTCCCACCTTGAAGGACCTAATCTCACTTATGGTAATCTGAACTCATTTCCAGACATGCTATATCCTTTCAGCAGATACTCCCAGTTATTGTAAAAGGCAAACAAAAACTGGAATAGATCTGAAAAGAGTATGCAATTAATTTCTATACCTCATTCCTTTTTGTTTGCTAAAATATCATGGTCCCTTTGTATGACCTTGATAAAATAGCCACTGATTACAGGTTTAAAATGGATCAGCTCACCTGATTCTTCCCAAGTGAGTTCTTCATTGTAAGGCCCCCTTGTTTCTGTGAGGCTTAGTGGGGGTGGGGGAGAACCTTGGGGACATTTGGCTTCTCTTTATTTTTTTCTCTTCCCATCCCTCAATAGATATATACGTGGATGCATTGTAACACATTTATATACCACTTTCTGAAGTTTCCATGCTAAATATTCTATTACCTTTTCCTAGGGTCTACACCCAAATACCTTTGCAAGAATGATTTGGAGAGAGAAATGGCAAATAAGGTAATTGTGTCATGCATAGCATGAGATAGCCAATGAAATGGTCTTGCTGTTATTTCTTTGATTCCTAACCCCACCCCACAATATGCACAAAAAGCAAAAACAATGAGAAGCAAACCTTGTTCAGCAAGAATAAGTCACTAGACAATGGCATAGGTGCATGGGAATGCAGAATAAGAAAGATGAATAGATTTAATTTCCAGTTATTCTCTAGCCTGAATTCTTGCTTCTTTCTTTTCTTAAAAAAATTACATATTTCTCCAAATTATTTCCCCTAATGGAGTCATAAAAATTATAGACAGAATATATTCCTGAGTCCTAAAACAATTGCTGATAATTATATATCATAATTATATATAATATGTATTATGACACATATAATTACATAATTTTATATGTGGTCTCCCCCAATTACAGTGAGAATTCCTTGATAGCAGGGACTTTTTTTTTTCTTTCTTGATAGTGTATCCTCAGTTTTTAAGCATAGCGTTTGGTACATAGAAGGTGCTTAATCATGATTTTCATATATTTATATATACATATGAATCAAATGATCAGAGCTATCACTAAGAACTTTTGTACAAGGGACAAGTAGAACTGGACACAAATTTGAGGGAGGAGGAGGAGAAAACAGAGACCCCAGAGTGCCTCTGGGGCAGGATGTCAGGAATGGGTAGGGCAAAGTAGAGATTGAATTCATTCACCTGCTATCTATCGCTTCTTATCTTAATCAATTAGCCTTGCCAGTTTAATACTAAACTCTATCATTTAAATTTGTGTTCTGGAGAGCTGTAGTTGTTTGCAGTGTCTTCTAAAAAGCCCATGGCTCTTGTAAATAAAGGTGTGAATCTCCCAAGTTTTGCTAAAGATCTTGGTGGACAATATCTTTTCCTGTGTATTTTCTTTTCTCTAGGCCATCTATGATAGTGTAAAAAATATGATTTATATGATGAAAATGTAACTGTGAGTAAATGATAGGACAAAAGCATCCCACAAATAGTTCTTGAGGGCTTAGTCTGCTCAGGGTCCTGTAGGGGATACAGAGATAATGAATTAGATGGAAGACCCTTGTCCTCAAGGGGCTTGTAAGTGAGAGAACTATAAAACATTGAAAATATGACAAATGGCCCAAAAGAATTTAAAGTTTGGAAACTTCACACATCTGAAGATTAATATAAATGAGGGCCAGATTTCTTAAAGGCATAATAGGCCCAAGTATTTGCTTGTTGATTATATTTTATGCCTAGGTTTAATGAATAATATTCTTCTAGCTACAGATACTCCTTTTAATTCTGTATTTAAGTATTTAATAAATGTTGATTTCCTTCCACCTGCTCAATGCTCTATAGACTACATAAAAAAATAAAACCTACCTATGGGGGATTTTTTCATAAAGAGTATGTGATTTTTAATCCACAAATCATCCCACTAGGTATTCTCAGGATAGACATACTCAACTTCTGTTATAAGGTTCAAAGTCCTGAGCTACTTTGTAGCTATCATAGGTGGGATCTATTGACTGAGGAAATCGTTCTGAGTCATTGCTGGTACCACAACTGGGTAACTAGGCTCACTGGGAAAATAGGAGAAAGGGATAGTTCTTGTTGGACATGTGTAGACTCCTCTGAGCTTCTTTCCTTGCAGATGTCTAAGATCTGTTCCTTTCTCTACTCAGGTTAGGTAAAGTGGCTTTATTTTATTTTATTTTTTGAGGCAATTGGTGTTAAGTGACTTGGCCATGGTCACTTAGCTAGTAAGTGTATGAGGCCAGATATGAACTCCAGTCCTCCTGATTCCAAGCCCTGTGCTCTATTCACTGTGCCACCTAGCTGAAGTGACTTCATTTTAAATACATGGAATCTTTCCTTGAACCTGGAATATTTGGTCACATATTAACTCTGTTTCCTTCTAGAAGAATAAAGGAGACTCAGCACTCTCTTTGTGGCAGCTTCTGCCAGATGAAATATGGATCTGCATCTTTTCCCTTCTGTCTCATAAGGAACTCTCCTGTATTGCACAAGTTTGCCATCATTTCTGCCGGCTTGCGAGTGATAACAGCTTTTGTAAGTAGAAAGAAACACACACAACACACACATGCGCATATATATCCCATATTTTTTATTTTAAACAAATATTGCATTCTATGGTGTATTGGCAAGAACACTGAATTTAGGTCAAAGGACTCAAATTAGAAACCTGACTCTGCTTTCTGTGACCTGGGAAAGGTGATTTAATTTTTAACAATAACAACAACTCACATTTACATAGCACTTACTAAACGCCAGGTACTGTGCTAAGGGCTTTGCAAATATTATCTCATGTGATCCTTACAACAACCCTGGGAGGTAGGTGTATTGTTATTCCATTTTACAGTTGAGGAAATTGAGGCAGACAGAAGTTAAGTGAATTGCCCAAGGTCACACAGATAGTAAACATCTGAGGTTAGAATTGAACTCAGATCTTCTTGATTCTAGGTCCAGTGCTTTTTCTATCCACTTCTAAAAATTATTCAATTTCATCTGTAAAATGAGCAAATTGGATTAGAGGATTTCTAAAAGCCTTTTCATCTCTAACTCCTAGGATCCAAAATTCAGGAGGGACCTTGTGATCAAAACCTTGTGATCTCATTTGGCAACTAACTTTATCCTTCATAGGATGATTTCCCTGTTAACTGAATGAAACATTTTAGAATATTAATATCATTTATCATTTGTATATCCCTTTCTAGTTTACAAAGTACTTTCATTTTCATCAGCTCCTTTGATTTATTCATTCAATAAGCATTTATTAAGGTCCTACTACGTATCAGGAACTATACTAGGCATTGAGGGTACAAAGTCAAAGCCAAAATAATCCTGCCCTCAAGGAGCATACATACTACTGGGGGAAACATCATGGACAAGTTAACTAAATACAAAATACATAGAGGAAAAAGCATTTATTGAGTGCCTACTATATGCTAAGAACTTTACAAGTATCTCATTTGATCCTTGAAGCAATAATGTGAAATAGGTGCTATTATTATGCATATTTTACAAATGTGAAAATTAAGGCAAACAAATTAAGGGACTTGTCCAGGGTCACACAGCTAGTTAAATGTCTGAGGTGGGATTTTTTCTCAGGTTTTCTTGATTCCATTCCTCTAGTCACGTTTACCCTATACAACATCCTATCTCCTATGTCTGTCATTTTCTATAGGGTGGCCTCTTTTGCCAGACTGCCCTCCTTCCTCATTTGACCTACTGTAATAGATGTGGTCAAGGCTCAGTATAAGTGCTACATGCTGTAAGATGCCTTCCCTTGATTTCTCATTTATTCTTGCTCAATGCCTTACCCACCCAGCAACACACACAATTCTCTTTTGAAATTTATTTTGAGATGGCTACTATGTACCAGGTGTTATACTAAATACTTTAAAAATAATATCTTATTTGATCCTCCTAACAACTCTTCAAGGTAAGTGCTATTATTATCCCCATTTTATAGATGAAGAATCTGAGGCAAATAGAAGTTAAAAGACTTGCCCAAGGTCATACAACTAGTATGTATCTATTACTGGGGTAGTAGATGTAGAGTAGAGAGAAGGACAAAGGTATTTTTTCTTTATATATGAGGCAGATATATTTTTTCTCCATTTCCCAAGAAGTAAACTGAGGTTCAGGAAGAAATGACTTGTCCAAGATGGCAAATGGTGGAACAGAGACTGAAGCCCAGGTTTCAGGCTGTTGGTCTCACTATCCCACATTGCCTCTTTGGAAGGTGCTGACCCTTTGAAGGTGCTCTGTGTTTTACTCTGGCCATTAGCATACCAGTGAGAGCAGTGCTGTTGCAACAATCCATGAGGGTAGATGTGTGTCCCTCATTATTAAGTGAGGCACTTCTGATGGAGGGCCCTGGGAGAACTAGGCTCAGTGAAAGATCGAATGCTAACTATATTTAGGGGTGGCTCTGCTCTCTGGCAAGTGGCTGGGCTCCCCCTAACAGCAAGATTCAAAAGGTGATGGTCAAAATTCAAGCTTCATCATACTCATATAGTAGAGAGAAATTTTGTTGGAAATAGCTGGAAAATCATAGGATTCCTAGTGATTAGAACTTACTTAGTATTGTATAATAATACTACTGATAATATAATAATAAACCCTCAGTGGAAGTCAGAATCGGGTGACCTCCAAGAAGCCAATGTTCAGCCTTTTTGATTCCTGAGTCCACTGAATCACATGTTGCTGTGTGAGCGTGATTTTGGTGATGGTTGGTCTTCTGGGACAAGGGAAATTCTTCCTTTAAAAATTGGTGATGGCTGCACTATTCCGAAAATAGCTTTAGAAGCCGAATGTCCTAGAAACATGATGGTAAATACTTTGGCATCCCTAGCAGTTCTCCCTTCCCCCTCACTTCCTCTCCCTCTCCTGCTTCCTCTCCCTTTTTTCCCCCTCTCCCTCTTCTCTCTCTCTGTTTCTCATCTCTCTGTCTCTCTCTCCCTCCCTCCTTCCCTCCCCCCTCTCTGCTTCCCTTCTTTCTTCCTTCTCTTTTTCTCTTTCCCTCTTTTTATCCCTCTCTCTCCTGCACATTTTCATTAATTTGTTAACAATGTCTCATATTAAAACAAAAATTTTCCTATGGAAAAATTGACAAAAGGAAAAGCTCCTAATTATTCATGGGTCCCTGTGATGGGAGGTCACTATACAGCTCTGATGCTGCATGGCACTGGGAGCTTCACTGGGGGAATGAATGGTTAGATCACTGTTGGCTTAGTTAGGAAATAAGTAGAATTCCTCTGCTCTGTAGTGAGAGGGTAATTATGTCTGGAGGCCTTTCCTGCACAACTGATTGCTTAGGCAACCCTTGTAATTACTATGGTTGGAAGCATTAGAATGAGAAAAAATTTTTAAAGGAAAATTAGGAATGAATCAGACATCAGTCAGCATTGGGAGTGCCAGTTAACAGCATTTGTATATGTGTGGTACCTTTGTCAGTGGCTAGCATGGTACTGGTGAGTCTGGTTTAAATTCCTGCTCTGATGCTTTCTATCTCTGTGACCGTGGGCAAGGCATTTAACCACCTGGGCCTTGGTTTCCTCATCTGTAAAATTAGATTATATGACCTCTGAAGTCCTTTCTGTCTCTAGGTAAATATTCTTGTGATACTATGGCACTGCACATGGAAGAAATGGTGTGAGCAAAGATATTCGAGTAGAAAGGAGAACTTCCAAGGCTCCTGAGGGTGCGTTATAGTGCCAGGAACCACTGGCTTAGAGTTGGGATGACTTGGGTTCCAATCCCTCCGCTGACATTTGTTGTTGTTCATCCTTAGTTCTTGAAGAGGACCAATGACATCACAAGAGTGATGTCTTGACCTTCATGTGAATTGGATTTAAGTGAGGTAGGGCTGTGCAAAGTCATCAGCCTCACTTTCTCCAGAGTCATCAGAATGCAGTGGCAAGACATAGGTCAGGACGACCGGTGATGGCCCTGGATGCAGTGGGAGACCTTGGCCTTTTTAAGCTAAGGTCTTTCCCAGGTGTCAGTTTGAGGCAGCACCTGTTCAGTAATTAAAGGCTAGGTAAGAACTGAGGCAAAAGATGGTATAGTTTGCCATCACAAAAGAATCAGTCTGGGAGGGCAAGACTCCCAGAGTTTCTGGCCAGAACAGAAAGAATTGCTATTTACACTCACTCTGAGCCATCAAAAACCAAACAGAAAGGGAGTGAGCCTTGGTCTGGGACCTATTATTGGCCAATCAGTGAGAGCCGTGGTGATTTGGGTTTAAAGGCACAGTCAAGAAGCTCCATTTGAATCCCAATGAGCTTTATCAAAGCCTGGTTTTCTAGAACCCTATTTCAAGAAATCATAAATGAAAAGTACTTGAGACAAAAGAGTTGATTGTTCCAGTTTTCTGGGGGGAAAAAGACAGAATAAAGAATTAGGGAAGAAAAAATTCTAGCCCCCAAACCCAAAAATACCTTGCGAAGTCTGTGATCAAAATTTATGTTCCTTTGGACAGAGCACCCACATGTAAGGATGTGACTCTACACATGGACAGAGGGAGAAGAGGAGAAGGAGGAGAACTTGATATTCACTACCATGAGAAAGTGACCTAAATTCTCTAAGCCTAAGCTTCAGTTTCCTTACTATAAAATGAGGGTGTTGATGCTTTTAGGCCCTACTGTATAATAGCTTTCCTAAGGAACAAATGTTATAGTCTATGTAAAGTAGGGATAAGGACTAGCATTTGGATTTCCACAAGATTTTGTTGGTTTTTTTTTTGTTTGTTTTGTTTTTTGGGTTTTTTTTTGGCTAGGCAGTGGGGTTAAATGACTTGCCCAGGGTCACCCAGCTAGTAAGTGTTATGTATCTGAGGCCAGATTTGAACTCAGGTCCTCCTGAACTTAGGTCCGGTGCTCTATCTACTGCACCACCTAGCTGCCCCTCCACAAGATTTTGAGTTCCAAATTTTCTCCCCATCTCATCCCTCCCCCAAACCCTAGACAACGTGCATTCTGACTACCCTTTCTCCTAATCTACCCTCTCTTCTATCCCTTGCCCTTCTCTTATCCCCTTCCTCTTCTATTTTCCTGTAGGGCAGGGTAGATTTCTATACCCCATTGCCTGTATATCTTATTTCCCAGTTGCATGTGAAAACAAATTTTTAATATTTGTTTTTAAAACTTTGAGTACCAAATTTTCTCCCTTCCTCCCTCCCCACCCACCCTCTTTGAGAAGGCAAGCAACTCAATATAAGTTATACTTGTGTAGTCATGCAAAACACTTCCATAGTGGTCATGCTGTGGAAAACTAACTATATTTCTCTTCATCCTATCCCAGCCCCCCTCTCCCGTTTATTCTGTTCTCTCTTTTGATCCTGTCCCTCCTCAGAAGTGTTTGCTTCTGATTACCCCCTCTCCCAATCTGCCCTCCCCTCTATCATCCCCACACTCTCTTATCCTCTTGCCCCCTATTTTCCTGCAGGGTAACATAGCTTTCCATACCCAATTGAGCCGATGAGAATAAGATTCACTCATTCCCTCTCACCTTCCCTCACTTTTCCTCCACTGTAAAAGCCTTTT